ATGTTTAAAACACATACTTACTAATTAAATTATGTATCAGTTTTAAATGCCTGCGCAGGGGACAAGAAGTGCTCCCACTTTTTAGTAGGTGGACTTTGCAGAAATGTTGGAGAGCTCAGCAGGCAGCAGTATAGGCAGGATGCTGGAGGGCTGGGAGAAAGGGTAAACAGAGGCTGGCAGAAGCAAATAAATGATATCATAATATTCATATTGCAATTAAAAAAAAAAAAATCCACACATGCACACACATCCAAAAAAAAACCCACGATAATGCCAAACTCTTCAGTTTCTTTAGTGAGCTTAACATCCGTCTACTTTCAGCGTGGGATTCCATTCAAATATGGTTACTGGGTTTGGTTTCTGCTTGTTTTCTATCACACTATCATGTTCAAGATCCTTGCTGTGGGAAATTTACCTTTCACTTCATAATAGAATCTATGATTCTATGATACATCTGCCATTTTTTAGTATTTCTGATCTCATGCTCCTTTGAGTTTCATAAAAACAACCCTGGCTACCCTTGAGAAACAGCACCAAAACCTCACCACAGATGGGCTTTCACCCAGCTTGGAATGATAATTACATTCACCATCACAGATAGCGCCACAGTGATACTGAAGTCAATGTTTCTATAGATCCCCTCAGCACAATTTACTGCCAACTGAACAAAACAGAAAAACAACTAAATAAAATATCTGCCAGAAGACTACATTTAGTGATCACTAACTCTACAAATCATGTACTGCAAAACTGTATTACAAAGGAAATCTGTTCTTAATTAAACAAAGTATCTGTACATCAGAAAGTCTGGATCAGCTGAAGGTTGAGTGCAGTAATTGCTGCGGATGTACGAATCTTCCTTTCTGATAAGCTACTGCTAAATATTAAGTCTTAGAAAGATTGTGTGTGCTTTTATGTTTATTTCCCACAACAAAGAATCACACATTTATGAGGGATCGTGACATCAATGTATGGGACAAATAAGTGCCAGCATGGGGCAAATAAAAGCCTGCATGGGGGTTAATACTGTGACACCAAACAAAAAAAGGAAACAGTGGCACCACAAAGCTGCAGACTTGGAACTAGCTGGCCGAAGTCCTGTTTGCAACACTATAGCAGTCTGCACACAGCATGACAAGCATCCAAGGAATCAAAATCAACTGTGAATACAAGCCTCATTCTTGCTGCAGCTCTGTTTTGGCTTTGATGTTTTTTAAAATCAGCTAGTATTAATGCACAATGGGAATTATCCAGGAGGGTCAAAAAGAATACAGTTTTGGAAAAAAAGTTGTTTACCTAGCACAAAAGGAAAAAAAAAAAAAAAAAGCTTCTGGGATGACTGTATGACTATAAGGCTTCCTAAAGAAAAAAGGGGGTTTTAAAGTGTTATCTATCAAAAGTGATTGTTTCCTTAAGCCAATAGGTAGTGTATGGATAGTACAGCAAAGCTGGGGACATCCATATCAGCTGAGCACAGTAAGAGGCTGCTCTGGACACACACTTCTTGTACCTGCGGACGCACCACTCCATGTTATTTACCAGTTCCACAACTTCAGCCACCAGCCCTGCCCAGAGCAATTGCTGTGCCACAACACCGAGCTGCCACAGCTTCTGTTCATGATTTTTAAGAATGGAGAAGAAATGAGTCCCACTTGAAAGCAGTGCACAACCAACTTCTGTGGATGTGGGAGACAGAGAGCAAAAATACTGAGTGCAGGAATTCAGCAAGCAGCTACATCCATGATGCTGCAAGGATCGGGTCTGCAGAGCTTGTGACATTAGTGGCAGTTAGTGGCATCCCACTGCCAAGAAAGGCCAGGGAAAGGCTTAGTGTGCATGGAATCCACAAATAATTAACTATCAAAATATAAAATAAAAGCAATGAGGGAACAAGGCAGGAAGCAATTTCCATACCTCCCAGCACAGCTCCCTGTTAACAAAAGCAGGAGGAGCACAGTCATCCTCCCAGTGATGCAAGTTCACCCTACAATCTGTTTACCCACGCATTCTGCCATCGAATCCACCATCCTCCCTACTTCACAAAACTGATGGCATTATGGGAGGACCACAAAGTACACAACAGTCCTGTGCAGAAAAGCAGCAGGAGAGAGGAACAGCTTCGTTCACAGCTTCCTTAGTTTCCATGCCTTACAACCAAAAACCACATGCTCCACTACCGGAGGCACAGGAGAATTTACAAGACGTAAATACATTTTTAAGAGCTCCACGTGCATGTCTGCCCCTGTCAGTTTGTTTTCTGCCCTCAGTCCACACACACACACTTCCCTGAGGTGCTCTCAGTGAAAAAGCCGTGCAGGTGAGTGTCCCTCGGAGGCTGCCCTTGGCTTTTATGGGTATTTGTTTTCCCAGCACGGAGCACAATTTCTTCTTCATTTATTTTATTAGGTGAGGTGTTTAAAGGGATATACGGTCATCTGGAGCTCATCACTGTCAAACTTTCAGCCCCGTAGCTGTAAAGAGTAAAGGAGCTAGTTTAGCTCTCTGCTTTACAAAGTGCTGAGTACCTCCAATGAGGTGCCAAATGTCCGCGGTGACACTTCAGGATTGCTCACAGGGCCCCACCCCGGCTCCGAGCAACACTCCTGTCCACAGCGGTGCTGGGGCAGAGCAGCACTCACAACACAAACCTGGACTTCTGAGGCAAGGAAGGTTTCCCTGGGCCTGAGACAGCACGGTGCCGGCTCCAGGGAGCACTGGATGTTAGCATTCCTACCTCCAAACTCCCAACCGAAGTGAAAAAAGCAAGCAAACGTTCAAGACAATCTTAGTGCGTTTTGGATTGGGTGTTTATTTTCAAACATTTTCACCCCACGTACACAGAGACAAGGTAATTCTCTCCAAACCCTTTAAACACATCCTGCTTCCACCGAGCTCAATGCATTTCTTTCACTTTCTTTCCAAGGGAAAAAAAAAGATCCCACAGACTCTTTACAAATCACTTTTCCCCAGAAGCCTTTTTTAAAATCAGTTCTTCTACTGGAAGCGAGCAATAAAACAAAGCTAACAAGACAAAAAAAAAAGTGCAGAAAGAACTGCTGACAGCCATACTTCAAAATGTCTACAGCAAAAAGGCTGCTCCAACAGGGTTGGGACAGCAAAGGCTTTCATTACCTGGACGCTTCTTCAAAGCCAGTCTCACTTGGCAGCAGTCACCTGGTGGCAGGTAAGGTTAGAGCACACTTCTTAAGTAACTGCAGAGAAGTGTTTTGTATTCAATGTGTAAATGCCATGGAGAATGCCTCCATGCACCCATGGAGAGCACCACCCTGCAGTACTGAATAAGCAGACAGTAAACAAGCAAACACAGAGAGAACTAAGAAGTTGCATCTACTTTCATTCATTCTGACACTTGCCATTTATCTTTGCTTTTGAACTGACTACTTCAGGCTGCATTGGGAGTGAACTGCAGCATCCTCGGAAGAAATAATACCACTGTAGCAATAGAAGCCTCCACTGCAGCATCTGTTATTAAATCTTTGCAGAGAGGTGAGTAAACCACTGCCACAGCTGTGGATCAGAGAGGTTCTGCTACATTCATTTCACAGTTCCAGGCACTTTGTACGAAAGCTCTTACTTGCCTTTTATGTCAAAAAATGAATTTATGCCAACTTTTTCATAGTGAATCCTTCAAGGCAATGATCCTTAAAGCCTGCAGTGCTCCAACAAAGAGGAGACGGCAGCAGCCAGCGGGGAGAGACGGAGGAAGCACAGAATGGGAGCGGCCGATGCTGCCGATACGCAACCCGTTCTGCGAGAAGGAAACAGCCGTCATCGCACAGTGCCTCCCTGAGCGGCTCGCAAACAGCCTTTGAAAGCGTCAGACTCTGTGCTGACTCTGACCCGGACACACAGCAGAGGAGCGCTAAGGGACTGCCGCACCCGCACCGCTCAGCCACGCAGCCCGGGTGGCAGGCGGGCAGGAGAAACACAGGACTCGATGTCGTACAGGGAGGACGGCAACTCGCACACCAGCACCAACTACAGAGCCAGTGCTCCAAAGCGAGCCGAGTTTAAGCAAACTTCACGCTAAGCTCACAAAGTTCAATCTTAGCTGAACTATAGTAAAAAACTCTCAGGAGTTTTCCAGAAAAGCTCAAATTCCCAAGAAGAAAGTTGGTCTTGAGCCTCCATAACGGTATTTTCCTGCCGGTGAAACTGCACAAACAGTGCAAGGTGCGGTGCCGTGCTTCCCTGTGCTGCATACTGTTAGGATATAACGTTTCCGCGATGGATAAATGAGAAGCCGCAAATCCCTGCGATCATCCGTGAGAGCGCACAACCGCTATGGGCCGGCACATAAAGAAGCGACGACAGCTGACACTGAAAACGAGTCAAAAGCAAATCGGCGTGAAAGTTTCAGCCTAAAATCGGCAACTAACTCATCGAGGCACGGCACGCGGCTCCAACCGCGAAAAGTTGCCGCTGCCGACGCTCTGCAACGAGCCCCGCTCTCGGTGCGCGATCCCGAGCCGGCCTGAGCCTGCGGAGCTCCTCGGGGCGCTCCGGCGCTAGCAGACCCGCGGGAGCGCCCGGCCTTGCTCGGCCCTCAGCGCTGCCCCCCGGCGAGGTGCAGAGTCCCCACGGATTTCTTCTCCACTACCGTTTTGCTCGCCGGCGCTTGAACGCGGCGCGGCGGCGAGGGGAACTCTGCGCGGGGCTGAAGGATGGGACCGAGCCGCGGCAACCGAACATGGGGCTCTCAACCCCTCGCCTCCGCTTTGCCCGAGTCACGCCGCCGGACAGCGCTCCGGGGCCGGGGCAGAGCACTCCTTCGCCTCGCCGCGCAGCGGCCCCGTGAGAGATGCGCGCTCGCCAACTTTGCAAAGTTGTGCGCGAGCGGCGGATGCGCTCTGCCACCCGTCTGCCCCGCGGGAGCCCCGGGCACCGGGAGCGGCGAGCCCGGAGGGGCGCCGAACGCCGCACAAGTTGCGGCCAGAAGGGGAACCCCCCGACCCTCTCGCTCCGCCCTTTGCACTCACGCTGCTGTTCTCGCCCGTCCAGTGCACCATCGCCTGGTTGTGAGACGCGTCCCCTTTGAGCACGAAGGAGGTGCTGAGGAGCGAGACCCGCTCCCGGCCCGCCGCCGCCGCCGCCGGGGATGCCCTCCGGGAGCGGCCGCCCC